TAAAGAAAGATCTGATTTGTATAACTACCGCCCCATACCTATCATAAGCGAGGTTTTTGAGTCTTTAATTAACAAACATTTAATCTCTCATCTTAAATTTATTAACTTTCTTTCTGATTATTAAAATATGGATTTCGATCTTCTCGCTCAACTGCTGATTTGTTTACGATGATAACTAATAGGCTTTATTGTGCATTAGATAGATGTGGAGAGAGTATGGCTATCATTTTTGACATTTCTAAAGCCTTTAATAAAGTTTAGCATGCTGGTCTTTTCCATAAGCTCTCTTCTTACGATGTATCAGGCAACATCTTTAAGATTGTTGAAATCTTCCTTTACAATCGTAGTAAAAAAATTATCACCTATAGACAGCACTCTTCTTTTCCTTTTTCTTTTTTTAACTTCAGGGGTTCCCCAAGGTTTTATCTTATTTTGCCTTATTACCGTGTTTTGGTACGTTGCCTTATTGCCGTGTTACAATTTATAATTTTTTACAAAGTTATTGAAGAATATATAGTATATAAGAAAAATTGAATGAACGTTTACAAGAATTCAAAAAATAAAATAAGATATCGTTTAATATATAATATCATAAATAGACAAAATAAAAGTAAAAATGAATATATATAAATTTATATACACATTCGCAAACTTACACATATAAGCGAAAAAATACCCATATATATATATGAACACACACAAACACACATATATAAATACATATATATATACATACATACACACACACATACGCACCATACACAATGGTTAGTGTGTATGTTCCATTTAAATGAACTATCATTGAGAAATTTAGTATAGTATTTAGACGGCACCATTTCTTGACTGATTACTACTGCATTTACCAGATCTGTTTTACAGATGTGTTAACATCTAGAAAGCACTTGCAAATTTTCATGAGATTGTTACAAGTTATATTAGCAAAGATCATCAGTATCAATATTACATGCGCAAGAAATAGAATTAGGCGAGGTGAATGAAAGCAAAAAAAGTCTTATTCATTGGTTCATTCTCGATGGCTGACAACAACTAATCAAATTCTGCATTTGTATGTAGCAATCACCCCGTCTTTTACTTTTAAAACTAATTATGTTCTTCAGTTTAAGACCATCATGGATCTACCATCTTGAAATATAATTCAAAATTGAATTTATCAGGTTAAATACCGAGCTTGTAAAAGGAGTGATTATACTCTCTTTTTACTTGTAAAACTTACTAATTATATTGTTTGTGTTTAAGAAGAATATAATTAGTATTTCTGAATTTTTTAGATAAAACATTTATTGGGGGTGGTCAATAAATTATAAATGTTTTATAAATTATAAAACATTTATAATTTATTGACCACCCCTCCCCCCGTTTATTAAAATTCCCACCCTCCTCTTTTGTCCCTCCCCCCTTGCATTAAGGATTAGAGAATAGTAATAGTAGAAAAATGCTGCAACAGGTTTCCCTGTATAACCTACAGGTTTTGACAGCCTTATCTACTTTATACTCTAATTTTATTCATATTAATTTATAAAAATTTACATATTATGCAGTATAATATGAAGTTGGTACTTTATTGTTTTTCCCTTTCTTTTTTTTTAGTCATAATCTACTTATGCGGGTTATTTGAAATTTCCGCATTTGATTTGTAAAAAGCTGGTGCCTTTACTCGCAATTTTGAACAAATTTTCTAGTCATTTTTAGATGATGTACTCTAGTTTTTATTTTATTTGATACCTCAACACGAAGGACATGGGGTTTACTCCATGAGACAATATCTATATTGTTAGTAACTTTATAGGCCTTTATCAAATCTCCCCTAATGCGACGGGTTTCTAAGGAAGTTAAGTTCAGTACTCAGACAATCTTTGACATATTACTGTACGAAGGTATTAAACGGATTTTATCGATTACATTCTTGACGATGGATTGCTGGCTTCTACCGCGAATTCTAGATGAGGTCGTACAAAGGCTGTGTATAGAATTTTAAGTAGTTGCGGAGTCATGTGACTGAAAGTACGATACAACATGCCTAATACACGGTTGGCTTTAGCGGTTACATAAGTTGAATTGTTTTGCCATTTCAAGTCTGGCGTAATCATGATGTCCAAATCACGTTCGACCAAAGTCGATACTATTTCGACACTGTTATTATTATTATTATTAGCTGGCATTGAGTAGATATAAAAATAGTTTGTTTTACCTAAGTCCATGATTTTACATTTATCGAGATTAAGTTTTATTTTCCAGGTTTTAAACCATTCAGCTATGTTGTAGATATCAGTTTGAAGTTTTTGTGAAGCTAATGGGTTGTCAAAACTGGACAGCAGTTTGTGTCATCAGCGTACATTTCACATGGATGGTTAACGATATTAGATATATTGTCCACGAAAATGATAAAAAGTATTAGAACTAAGACGGGTCCTTGAGGGACGCCACTAAATACCTCGAGCCACAAGGATACAAATTGCCCATTACGATTTGGTAAAATTGCTGGTGTGAAAGCAATTTTATCCAGTTCAGGATATTTCCAGTAAAACCATATACCTCGAGTTTGTAAATTAGTCTCTTGTGGGGAACCATATCAAACGTTTTACTGAAATCAATAAACGCTACGTTCATAGACACCTTGTCAGATAATGTTTTCCTCGTGTGTGATTTATTTGTTGGAGTCGATTGACATCACGTCAATCGACTCCAACAAATAAATCACACACGCTTTTTTATTGACAAAATATGTTGATTTTTTGAAATAAGTTTATTTTTAGCTTTTATTTTATTCTTGATGTTATCTTTTTCATTTTCATCTTTTTCATTTGCATCTTTGACGAATCCATTTTTAGTCATTTAATCAATTAGTCACTGGAACATAAGTTTTGTATGCTGCCACATAGTGGTTTAGGAAAGTGTTATAACAGCCATCAGTATTGCGTCCATTGAATTACATCTGCCAGTCGATATTGTTAAAATATTCGGATAGCTATATAAAGTTACTTTTGTGATAAATGCGTTTTTTATTGGGTTTACCTACATCTGCAACGCTTTTAACAACGTAATTTCATTGAAGGACGTGGTGAAATTTCTTCAGAGACGTTAAAGGTGCATGGTGAATAATATCGAGGACCCGATTTTCATTTTCGGAAAAAATAGTTTCAAGATCAAGAATGTTGTTCACTGTGATTTCATCAAGTTGAAAAGTGGGCTTTTTTCACATCGTCTCGTAATTGTCTATCTTTTCTTCTTTGTGGTTCTGTAAGGTCTGGATTAACATAGATGTTTTCAAATTTACGCCGGGCTGCCTTAACTATATTATTTCTGATGACAGTGTCTGTCGTTGCGACAATAATAGGCAGAGGTTTATTTGGATCTTTTGACCGTAATCGAAAACATTTTATTACATTGTCTTCTCTTTAGGTTCTGTTTTAGTCGATGCTGGAATGCCGAAGACAATAAGGTTTTTGTCGCGCTTTATTTTATCTTTGTTCTTATTAGCTACACAATTAAGCATATCTAGTTGAGCTGGCGTTTTAGTTAATTCCGACAACAACGTTCCATGTTTCCGTTGTAATTGTGGAAGCAGCGGAATTTTCCTCTAGTTGTTCGTTATGCTTTGTGAGGGCGATGATCGTCGACGTTTGTTCATCAACTGTTTTTGATAACAATACTACATGCTTTAGAAGCGTCTCACTTATTATTCAACTCAGAAATGTTGGGTTTTGAAGGCATTTAGCGTGAATATGTATAAACAACAGTGTATATAGTTTATATAAGTATTTATTTAAATTATGTATATAAATATATATATTAATATATTTATATTTTCATTAAGAATATAAATTTTTTTAAATAACTTTTATTTTACGGTACAATAAATGCAATAGTTTCTTTATACGAATACTGACTTATAGTTAAGCATAGTTACTATTTATTCATTAAATTAAAAATTAATTTTTATTCTCTTTTGATAACCATTGCACATTCATTATGTTACGGGTGTGTAAAATGTTTCAAAAGGGGCTGTTGACAAAACTAATTAAAGCTCCAGCTATTGATTTTGTTATATAGTTTTAAAAAACAAAATAAATCGAACCAGCTTTTTAAGTTTATAATTATCAAAGTTATGAAACTCTTGTTTGATTTTTAATTCGTTTAATTCTACTTTTAATATTTTAGAATACCGTTAAGTTTTTTATTTTTAATTAGACTTTTTATTTAGAATTAAATGATCTGCATTTTTCAATCTGCAGAACAACTAGGCGAACCAAAATTGAGTTGATAAAATCCAGAGACTTTTTACGTCAACATTTGATTTCTGCCCTCCTCCCTCCCCTAATAAAATTGAAATGGAAAAAAAAAACATATTTTTTAACAAATACAAAGATTGATACGTCAACATTTTTCTTCAACTTTTCTTGAACTTCCTCCTACTCCTTGTCAACTGTCAAAAATCAGACCCCCCTCTTTGGTTGACGTAATTAATAGACAACCTCTTTTCCAACACAACTTATAGAACCAAGAAAAACAAAATGACTATATAAAGAGGATCTTGGATCTATTATCTTGAAATTGATTTTATTTTGTTTTACCAACTCTGAGGAGTAAAAGTTGAAAGGAATGAAAAAAAAAAGTTGAAAGGAATGGTTAGGTTAAAAATTTATCATTTATTTCTTTACTCAGTAGGTAACTCAGTTGTTTTAGCCAAAAGACAAAAGAATGCCAAATGCTTTAGTTGTTGGTAACTGTACAGTTTATAAAGGTAATGAAGAAAAAAGTAGTCTTGTAAATTAGTTGCGCAAACCACTCTTTTAATTGTGGCACAAACCACTTTTTAAATTGTAGCTATATAATTGAATTGTAAATGCTCTTATTTGATGACAATATTGGTCCTGTTGGCATATTCCAAACAAGCAAGAAATAAATAAAAAAAATTTCTTAATATTTTTGCTCTCAATTTTTTTTTCCGAAAAGCTTAAGTTGAAGAAAATAATAATTAATTGCTACATGATTAATTTATCTTTAAAATAATTTGTCCACGAGCACCATTATTTTCAATGATCTCTTTATGAGAATCTTTAGCAAACTCTAAATCGTATGTTTTCCATAACACAGGCTTCAACCAGTTATCTTTAATTCCTTTATTTACAATACTAAAATTATCTTTTTTTTCGTCATCCGTACTTTTAAAAAGCATAACACCAGTGACAACACATTCTGAAGACATAATTGCACGAGGAACTATAGTAACCGGACCACGGCTACCAATTATCTAAAAAATGCCAAATACTGCAGTGTAAAAAATTTATATATAAATATTTATATATATATGTATATATGTATATATATATATATATATATATATATATATATATATATATATATATATATATGTATATATATATATATATATATATATATATATATATATATATATATATATATATATATATATATATATATATATATATATATATATATATGTATATATGTTTTATACAATTGAAAAGTAGAAACTGCTATTGGATTATTATCAACTAACTAAATGAAAATTTTTAAATAAATCGTTTTTGAAAAAAAACTAACCACAATAGTTCCGCCAGCACCAATGATGCTTAAATCTTTACTCAAATTTACATTAGCAAGCATTTCTAAGATGACATCAATGTGTCCTTCATGCTTTATAATATCTTCTACATAGCCTTCCTCATGATGGTTGTAAATACTGTCAACACCTTGTGATTTTAGCAAGTCAATTCCATGGGCAGAGCCTGCAGTTGCGACCACTTTAATTCCCAATGACTGGCATATTTGTACGGCTGCTGTTCCAACCTTTAATAATAAAAATATTTTTAGTGCAAGAAATAATATAAAAATCTCTAAAAAAATCCAACAATTATTAAAAAAAACAAATTATAAATTAATGCACAAATAGACTTACTCCTCCAGTTGCACCATGAACCATAACTTTCATGCCTTCTTTTACATGAGCTCTATAACAAATCAAACATTTATAAAATCATAAAAAGCATAAACAACCATACTGCTTTCCTTCATTGCATATGTACTTAAATCAACCAACACCACAACTAAACCAACAACAAAAAATCAATAGTATACACAACAGTATATAACAGTATACACAAGATATCTCTGTTTACTTTTTTTGATTTTGTATTCAACAAATGCAAGCAAATGATTTTTTGCTTGCATTTGTTGAATACAAAATCAGTTACTTGTATTTATATTTATAAAAAATGAAATATTTTTTATAAATATAAATACAAGTAATTATGATAATTAAATATAATACAAATAATTATCAGTAAACAATCTGGAACAATTAAATTCAGAAGTAACAAATTGATAACATGCGCTTTAGTATGTTTATAATATAAATTACCATGTTATATGGAAATTTTTAAAACAAATTTTCAACTCTAGAAAATTAATTGTACAATACACTATTTGAAATGTTTTCTATTTCAATTTTTATATTTTTCGAAATTTAAAGTACGTTTTAAAAACTATTTCATCTTTAGATATAAAATAGTATATAAGAAATAAACTACAAACAATTACAAAAAAATTGGCTAGTTCATTAGCCAATTTTTTAAAATTCATATTAAGGAGAATCTCTAGAGAATTTATATTAAAGTCTTAAACATTTTCTATTAGAACAAAAAAAAGTTCATATAAGGGAAAAAGTCTCTAGAACATTTTCTATTGTCAATCTAATATCCAATACCATTATTTTGGACCCATCTCTTGTGCTAGTCAATCTAATATCCTATACCATTATTTTGGACTCATCTCTTTGCAATAGAAGTCATATTAAAACTGGGGCTAAAATTAAAGATTTTAAGGAGATTTAAGGAGATATTTTCATAATATTTAAGGAGATTTGGTCGCAACAACAACTTTTTGAAGGAAAAAGTAAGGAGAAAACAATTACATTAAAAACAGAATCTTTCTTTTTTCAATAAATTTTAAATATAAACAGATAAACTATTATAAATGAATATATATATATATATATATATATATATATATATATATATATATATATATACATATATATATATATATATATATATATATATATATATATATATATATATATATATATATATACATATATATATATATATATATATATATACATATATTTATACACACACACACATATATATATATATATATATATATATATATATATATATATATATATATATATATATATATATATATATATATACATACTCTTGCATGGTAGTCACAAAGTTTTTCCCATAAACTGTAATTTTAAAGAGCGCGTTAATAAGCCTGACCAGAAAATGTAAAAAAACTTCAAAAAATTTTTTTTTTTTTTAAAATGATATTCTGCCTGCCCAAACCAAACCCTCAGTCGATGTAGCAGCACTCCCTTGCGAGTCAGGCTATTTGTCAGTCGATGTAGCAGCACTCCTTTGCGAGTCTGGCTATTTGTCAGTCGATGTAGCAGCACTCCGTTGCGAGTCAGGCTATAAGATAGTCGATGTAGAAACATTCCCTTGTAGCAGCAGGTTATAAGATAGTCGATGTAGCAACATTTACACATGTTTTAAAAATGTTTTTTAATAAAACAAAAACACCACTAATTAAAAAAAACTTTCTAGTCATTATTATTGCGGTTTTTTAAAAAAACGATAAAATTTAATGTACTTCCGGATTAATTTAATTGCTTTGACATTTCGACGACAATCAAATACAGCTTAAGAGCCGAGGTAATTAAAATTGTATTATATATATATATATATATATATATATATATATATATATATCATCATCATCATCATCATCATCATCATCATCATCATCATCATCATCATCATCATCATCATCATCATCATCATCATCATCATCATCATCATCATCATCATCATCATCATCATCATCATCATCATTCTCAACATACAAGTTCAACATGAAAATTTTTTAAAAACATATAACAATCTTTTTAAAATCAAGTTTGTTAATATCTAGCTAATGGTTTTTTCCCTTAAGTTTTTATATTTAGCTGTAATTAAGTATATATATATATATATATATATATATATATATATATATATATATATATATATATATATATATATATATATATATATATATATATATATATATATATATATATATATATATATATATATAGCTGTAAATAAAAAAGAGGGTGGACTAAATACTAAGACTCTTCCCCTATATCAAAAGTATAGGATTTTAACTCATCAAAGAAATAACTATATGCTTCTCTATTGATAAGTATAATCCATTTGCTTTAATAAAATTTCCATGATGATAAAAAAAGAAAATAAGGAGAAATTAAGGAGAGCATTCAAATTTTAACTTTTTTAAAGGTTATTTAAGGACTTTTAAGGAGTTTATTTTTTTTAAGGATATTTAAGATTTTTAAGGAGGAGTGGGAGCCCTGATATGGCTTGGATCGTTATCTTGCTGAAATATCTAAAACAATGGCATGTTATCCTCATAAGCAAGCATTTCTTGAAGTATAATAGCATAAATATCTGCTGTCATTGTGGCTGTTATTTTAAATAGGACCGATACCGGACGACGAGAAATATCCCCTCAGCATAATGCTAACTCTTTAGCTGTTGGTCTGTGGACAAATTGATTACCATCTGATCACTAAAAATAACAAAATTTAAACTCTTTTATCTACAAAACTATGCTCTATTTCTTATTTGTCTATGCAGAATATTTATGACAAAAAACAATATTTTTCAGAATTTTATATGTTTTTCTTTTCAATACAGACACACTTCTAAGTGATTTTAAAAATTAACTTGCTTTATGTAAATGCCTTCTTATCGTGAGATTAGATTTAACTTCGTATTGCTAGAGATAAACAGATCCTTTTTAGCTTCTGGAACTAATTTATCTTCTCTGTAATTTTTTTTTTGACCTCTATTTTCCACACATTTTTGTGGTTTAAGAGCGAGGTTTTGAATCATATGAAAAATGGTTACTTATGAATAAAATGGCTATTTAATAATGGCTACTTATAAAACAAAAAAAATACATATTGCTCACATGTTATTTTTGTGCTAAATAAGTAGCATATAAAGGTTATAGCAGTTGAAGGAGATTACTGAAGCAGCCAGGGTTTGAAGTTTTTAATTATGATTAAATATGGAGGGAAGCTGTCATTCTTTTTTTGTACCCATTTGGTGTAACTAGATTACTAGAGTCAACTCACATGTTCAAAAAGTAATAACAGTTGAAAATAAAAGAAAAAGATTTCTGTATTCCATTTCTGTATTTATTATTTTTACCACTGAACTTTAGCAACTTTAAAGAAAGTTGTTAGTTACATGCATGGCCTACTATAAATACACGGCCGGGTTTGTTGGTTTTTACAGAAAAAATTAGGAGGCCAGTTTTATTTGCTGTAATAAACAATATCTTTAAACAGAAGGCTTTGTTTTTCTTGTTATATATAATATTTTTTGATTATATATGAGTTTTATTATGAGTTTAGTTATGAGGAACTTATTAATTTTGATGTTTTAAATAAGATTTTAATTAAGTAACAATATAAATACAATATTTAAATTAGACACATTTATAACAGCTTGTTGCTTGATTATTTTTATTGTGCTTCAAAAATATAAGAAATACTTTTATTTTCATACCTAGAATTCTTAATATAATCCCAAACAAGCATGCAGTGATATACTGTGATATACAGTGCAGTGATATACAGTGGATACAAAAGTAAATCATCAAATACAAATGTGAATACTCTAAAATTGACTTCAGAAACAACTGTTTATAACAAAGAAAATAGTATTTTTGCTTTTCCTGATGCTCTTAAAAGACCTGAGTTAAGAAAAAAATGGATTAAGTTTGTTAATAGAAAAAATTGGTTTCCTACAGAAAATTCAGGTGTTTGTAGTGCACACTTTGATCCAAAATTTCTAAAGCACGGTGTTAGAATGACTCTTATTTATGATCTTCATCCAATACCAACTATTTATTCAAATGATGCAATAAAAAAAATTCCACCTTCTCTGTTATTATCTATTCCAGGTCCATCAAGAAAATCTCCAACTAGATGTGTCACAAGCATTCAAGATAAATCAGATATTTTTATGGAAAAAGATTCTATCGAAGACCTAGAAATGTTAGATTCGTCTTCAAGTCCTGTTGGCTTTATTTTTCAAAAATATGACTCCCATGTTTTATATTATCGTATTTTTAATGTGGCATCTATTGATAATGCTCCCTGTATTGAATCAATAAAAGTTGATTCTACTTTGCATGTAAAGTTTTTACTTTTGCATGTCATTGTTCGTTTTAAAAAAATTAGCAGCTGGAGGAATTAAACCCTTAAAAGCTATTAAGTTACTTTTGGAGGAAGGAAAAGTAGACCCAGACTGTATTTTAATGTTGGGTGAAATGTATTTACAGAAATGTAGTGAGTATAGTGGCGGTAAATATGTTGGTCAGGATAAAAATTGTAACTTTTTCAAAAGTATCCTTGTTTTTATGATTGTGAGTTTAAAAAAATCTATCCCTTATGTCATAAAGTCTTGTCCACAAACAAAAATAAATGGAGATACAGTTTTCCTTGAAATTAAAGAAAGTTTGTTTGTTTTGAAATTAGCAGGATTTAATGTACGTTCAATAGTTGCAGACAATCATTCGACAAATGTATCAGGATATGGACAGTTGATTAAATGCTTCAGAACTGGCAAATCTGAAGAAGATCATTTTATTACAGAGAAAAAAAAATTAACCTTATGTATGATAGTATGTTGATATATATGTCAATATGTCGATATGTATGTCGATATGTGTATGTCGATATGTCGATATGTCAATATGTATGATAGTATGATGTATGATAGTATGCTAGTATATGATATGTCAATATATATATCGATATATATGTCGATATGTCGATATGTATGATAGTATGTATATATATATAATA